CCCATCTACAAAAATAAAAACAACCAGCCTCATCTGTGTTCTGTCGCCCGTTTATTATTTGCTTGAAGTACAGAGCAGATGCACATTTCATCTTACAAACAGGGAGAGGTTATAGAAGCATTCACAAACACAAAACTTACACACCCTCATTCACACGAGAACACTTTGCTGTTCAGTCTTCTAGAAGACTGAAAACAAAATCCACATTTCTGGGCGTTTGGTCCGATAAAATCAACCGGACACTCCTGATACGGAGTCCGTTCCCAAACCCGCTCTGTCCTGTGATTTAGCAACATGTTGAGCAGCTTACGCCATCCTTGAAGCAAAACAAGAAGTTTCAGCGCATGTTTGCAGATTATTTTTCGTAAAACTGATTTTAAGAGCTATGATAAATAATTATGTTTTTATTGGTACCACTTACAATAAGGCTCCCCTTATAGATACGTTATTTCCTCTATAAACAGTTTATAAATCATTAATAACTGCTTATTATGCCTTAAGGGTGACAAGAGATAAAACTGAGCAGTTTGTTGCCAACTAGTGAGCCAAATCTGTTCACCCATATATTTAATCTAGAATTGTTCTATTAAACATTTCAGACTAAGTTACTACCTTATAAGCACAATAAGCATTTGTAAACTTATTTCTTGAATTTCATACCATAAACATGCAAATGTGAGTTGGTACGACAATAAAAAAAATTCTTGAATCCTTGAAAATAATAATGTACTTTATCAGTGTATTATAAGTATCTACAACTAATATATGCTAAAAAAAATATAAGTTTACAAATGCTTATTGTGCTTACAAGGATTTGGCTCACTATTTCGCAAGAAACTGGTCTGTTTTGGCTCTCTGTCACCCTTAATGCATAATAAACAATTATTGATTTATAAAGTGTTTATAGAGGAATTAATATCTATAAACTACTTATTAGCCATCTATAAAGGGGAGCCTTATTGTAAAGTGGTACAGATCTATTTTTAAAATCTACAACCAAGTCCATATTTTGGAAATACCTCGGGCAAAAAAACAAGAGTCAATCCAGTATTTGTGATCTGACCTGTGTGTGCTAACCTTCATTTCTTTTTTCCTCACATTTGAGCAGCCAATGCAACTCTTTTCTTGGGAGTAAGGCCATGAAGCTCCACTGTGATAGTCAACAAAAAATACAGTGAGAACTACAAAACGGCACTGTGCAAAAAAATTGACTGCAGCCCAAACAGCAACTTGTTCGAAACACCTGCACCCTTCCTCCAATATGCACACATTAACCATTAACCAACCACTAAAGGCATGTTTAGTCTCATTCGTGCTGGCCTCAGTGCTGGAGAAGTACAATTTCCTGCAAGATACTCCCTCGCAAGGGGGAGGGAAAACTGGACTGAACAAATTGATTTTTTTTACCAAGAGGATGCATATCATTAAAACCGAGGCTTCCTGAAAAATAAGGAACATAACAGACTTAAAGTGACATCTGGTCAGAAATGATTGAATCTGGTAGAAATATGCACCGATTGTTTTTTTTCCTCTCACTGTTGTCCTGTTAGTGTAACAAAACTAATATTTTCCTTCACAGCTTAAATGCACACAAACATAAAAACAAACCCAACTTTCTGTACGTTTTATAATTTAAAGCCATAATAATTTAAACGTTTTAAATATCCGTAAATCCATTTAAACAGGCATCATCTTTTAAATTAATATTTTAGTCATCACCTCTGATAAAACAAACCCCACATCTTTAATAGGGAAGAAGAGACGACGTGATCATTGATAAAACTGCTGAATGCATTTGGTTTTCCTGTCAAAGATGTGATTGAAAATTGCAAATATCTCACTTTGATGTTCTGTCAACTAGTTGTGCTACAGATAATCTATAATCTGAGTGACAGAGAGGCCCGAGGGGACAGAACTTTAACAGCAACCTGTTTACCAGACAGGAACACGGACTTTCTATTGTCATGTTGGTAAACAGATTAAATAAAGCCCTTACGTTTATTTGCAAAATAAACACGAAACAGATTCCACAAAGCCACAGGACAGTCGACCAACCCATCAACGATCGCGGTTTTCACAGGAAAGACGAATCAAGGTCAGTGTGCTGAAGACAGGAGACTCACAGGATCTCCACTCCTCTGTCAGGTGTCTGGCCCCAGCAGCCCCATCCATCAGTTTTCTGCAGTAAATACAATTTTCAGTACACACATCTCCTGACGGTGATCTCTTTTCACGTTTCCTTTGCTCACGCCCATCATCGGTCACCACGAGTCCAAGAAACACAATCTGCAGCCCTGTGACGAAGGTCAGGCTCTCGTTTCCTGAACACAAGTCACTGATGCGGATTAAATAAAAAGAATCGTGTACGCCAAGTTTTAAAGCAGAACACAAAAAAACATTTCTCAGTCATGAGTTAACCATCACTCATTCCCCTGACTCGATCGCACTCTTCTGTGCACACTTCCTGCCTTTCTGCGCTCATCTTTCACTTCTTCCTTGGCTCCAGCTTCCTCCTACTTGTCCTTTCTCAGATGCAGTCCTGTCCAGCAGGTCAACTGAGGAAAGTGTGAGTGCACAGACACACACACACACACACACTCATACAAACAGCTTCATAATCAAACATATATTTGAACACAAACATAATTCGTCCTACATGGTGTTAATGACCACGGTTGAGATAACACAATCTTACTAATCCAGGATATAAGATATGAAGGTGGAAGTTCAGTGTACTGAGTGTGTTGGTAGATGTGTGCGGGTCCACTGTGGTCTGGGGGTGTCTGTCAGTTGGTCTCGTAGGAGGAAAGCAGTGCAGCGTCCACAGGCTCCATGCAGGAGGGGCAGGTGAACGACCTCATCAGCCAATCATCTATACAGTCCATGTGGTAGATGTGCATGCAGGGCAGAAACCGGATGGGGTCTCCGTAAACAAAGTCCATCATGCAGATGACACACCTGAGGAGGAGAGGAGCGAGTCTCAGTAACTTGTGTTGAAAACAACTACAAAGATTTTAAAGACGGGCAGGAAACAAAAAGGAAGAAATAAGAATGCAACCAAACACAGGAGCAGTGACAATTAGTTAACAGCTTTTAACTAGTCCATTCTGCATCCAAGGTGTGTGCGTGTTTCCTAAAATATATCCATTTGTTTCTGTTCTGAGCAGAATGAACTTTAATGGGAGGAAGATAATAGTGTGGATGTTTATGAAGCATTCACACTATTCCATTTTTCTTTCGTGTGTTTTTCAGCGCGATTCTCGTCCTGCAGTTTTCAAGATATTTCAACAAATCATAAAACATTCAGCTCTTTCAGGACAATCCTGCTATGTCTTTTGGTATTGATGCAACTTTAGCTTTTTGAAATAGTTACCCTTTTCTGCCATTTTTCCCCCTCATACAAAATGAACTGAGCTCATTTTACATCCTTCAATTCTTTAGATGTCTTTACAACCTTTTTCTGCTTCTTTCACATTTTGTTCTGGTACAGCTTCTTTCAGCTTCCTTGTGCAAATTTAAACCCTTTTTCAGCAACTTTCAGCTGTTTTTTCAGCCATTTTGTACTCTTTTCAGCTTCTTTCAGCTAACCACAACAATTTTGTGCTTCTTCTAACTTCTTTCAGCCAGTTCCAGATTGTTATGCTCCTTTCAGATTTTTTCTGCTAGTTTCAGCTTTTTCTGCTATGTCAGTTACTTTTTAGCTGTTTTTGTGCTAAATAAATGTGCTAAATTAAACATATTACACCAGTTCTGTCCTCCCTTCACTGGCTCCCTGTTCGTACGAGGATAGTTTTTAAAATTCTTCTGTTGACCTTCAAATGCCTAAATGGCCTTGCACCCCTTTACCTCTCTGAGCTTCTGGAACCAAACGTTCCCTCTCGAGCCCTGAGATCATCCGATCAGCTGCTTTTGGCTGTTCCAAAAACAAGACTGAAGCTCAGAGGAGATCGGGCTTTTTCAGTCATGGGCCCCAAACTCTGGAACAACCTGTCCCCACAACATCAGGCAGGCCACCTCCCTTTCTCACTTCAAATCCCTGCTAAAAACACATCTGTTCTCGCAGGCTTTTCACACAGTGTAAATTGATCTAGTGTTTTTTAATCTGTGACCCTATGTTTTAAATGCTTTTTTTAAATTCTTCAGTTATTATTATTAGTGTATTGTATATATATGTTTATATCTTTTTCTCTTTAATTTACTCATTGATTGTTGTGTTGTTAAGCACTTTGAGAACAGGTTCTGTCATAAATGTGCTCTATAAATGAAGTTGACTTGACTCAATTTAGCTTTTTCAGCCAATTCCACATTTTTTAGCTAATTTTTGCTCTTTCCACTTCCTTCTGGTAGTTTAAGAATTTTTCTGTCTTTTCAGCTACTTTTCAGCTATTTTTTTTTGCGAATTTCAACTTTTTTAGTTAATTTACTAATCTTTGTACCAATTTCTGCTTATTTAAACTTAATCCAGCAAATACGTGTTCTTTCTGCATTCTTACACTTGTTCTTCCATTTAAGCTACATTTCAACATGTTTTTAGCTAATTTCAGCTATTTTTCTCCAGTTATTCAGCAATAAGCATTCACACTGCATTTTCACAGGAAATGCAACTTCTCTAGTTTTTTTTTATTTCTTGTATAATGTAAGAAATGTATTTTTTGTATCTTGTTTTTAGGCGAAAGGAAATGGAATGGTTAAGATGTTTTCATCAGTGATGAGTTGGTGATAATTTTACTCAGCTGAAGGTTTTAACTCACTCTCTGATTTTCTTCTCAGAGCCATCTCGCCCTGGGTCATACACGCCCTTCGGCAGGTGCTGGATGAGTCCGATCCGTTGAGCGATGCGGACCTGCTCCTCTTCTGTCAGCTGAGTGGCCAGTCGGGCTTGGCTGGGCGTCGGGTGGTAGATGGGCACATGGATCTGTTCCTGTAAACAGAAAGTCATCATTTCTCTAATAAAAACACGAAGAGTGGCATTAGTTTTATAATCAGACATTGTTTGTTTTAAATGAATGTTTGTGGGGGATGTTTATATTCACTACATTAATAACAATGCAGATTATCAAGCACATAACATCTGTAGTTATAAAATCAGGATTATGGTTTCAGGCAGCAGGTGGTGGTGTTTCCACACAGCATTCAGCATCAAGATGGCCACTTTTACCTCACTTGACTTTTGTTTTCAAGGTGCATATAACTAGGGCTGCAAATCAACTCATAATAATCGATTCATTGACCGATCAGTTTTCGATTGATCGATTAATTGACAAAAGGGACACTGTTTTAATTTCAGTCAGAGTGAGAGTCAGTTTCTTTATTGTCATTCGCACCTCATGTGGTACATGTGGTGGAGCGAAATTATGTACACGGGGTCCCAGTTACATCCGACAATAAAATGTATAATAAAAACAGTAATAACATCTAAGATATGAACTAAGAAAAACATCAACTAAATATACACTAAGCACTCATAACATAAAACATTGAACATCAGCACAAACATGAACATGAGTCTGTGAGCAGATGTGCACGCATGAACACAGTAACATTGAAACAGATCAGCAGCAACATGAAACAGATCAGCAGCAACATGATATGGTTTTTCACAGTGATTATTCTAGTTAGAGATTCATGAGTCTAACAGCCTCAGGGTAGAAGCTGTTCCTCAGTCTAGTGGTTCTACACTCAATGCTCCCCAACCTCCTTCCTGAGGGGAGTGGGGCAAAAAGTGTGTGTGCTGGGTGGGGTCCTTCATGATGCAGGTGGCCCTCTTCCTGCATCTGGAGGTGTAGATGTCTGTGATGGTGGGGAGACTGATTCCAACAGATTTCTGTGCAGCCTTCACCACTCTCTGCAAAGCTTTTCTTTCTTTATTTCCACCCCTTTATTCCAAAATTGAACATTTGACTGACATGGCAATTCACACAAAAAACAGGTTGCCATTTGACTATTCTGTTAGTAAAATATTGAATAATAAAAAATAAAAGATAGTCAAATAGCTTAAAAAATAAATGTAAACAAAAATATATACAAATGTATGCTTTATACCTGCACAGTATGTAGCTACTTTGCAAAATGTGTCCTTGAGGGAAGAGTGTAACCTGGATTAAAAGTGTGGAATATTGTAACCTGGATTAAAAGTATGGAATAAGTGGACATTTTAAGTGGACATTTTTTGTCTTTCCTACCACAGGCCGCAGTCAGAGCAGTGTGCAAAAGCGGGTGGGAGAGCCGACGGATCAGCTGAGCAAACAGTTGCTCACAACATGACAGAAGAAAAAAAAAGTTTTTTCATCCAGTTTGTTCTAAATCACTGAACTTTAGTGTTGCAAAGGCAACTCCTTCTAGTGGGACCTGCATGAAAATCCTCAAGAGGAAGGCGTCCAGGACACAACCTAATTCGATGCTCGAACAATCCCAGCCGACACTTGTGATGCAGAGGAGCCGCAGATGGACTGAGCTCCCTCCACATGATGGACCTCCTCACTGTATCCCCAAGGTCATGGTTCAGTTCAGGGGCCAGTAAAGTCACTTGGAGTTTATGCAGTTTCCTTTTCTTCCTTCCTGAGCCCACACTTTAATCAAATAGCAACATACTGATTTTACAAGGTGCCAATCTAAATTTCAAGCTGAAAAAAAAAACCCACAACAAAATACCGTAACTATCAGACTAAGGCCACTATTGACATAAAAAGAGCTCTTCCACTGATTACCAATGTACCCACGATCAGATCATTTTTTTGATAAATGAATTCACATAAATTTTTGGGAGCAATGTCATAACTACCTTTTTTTTTTTTTTGCATAAAAATTGTTTTCTGAAAAACAAGCACTGCACATAACAATGATGGGATTAGTTGTTAAAATGGATAACCAAGTAGTGGTTCAGTTTTAGAAATCTGCCATTTTTTCCCTCTTGGAATAGTTACTGTGCAATTAATCAATAGAATAATAAAAAAATAGTAATTCTTTAAAATAACACTAATCACTATACAGCAGTCCCTCGCTACTTCACGATTTGTTTTGTTGGTTTTTCAAAATAAGATTGGACATGACAATTTTATGATTGATAGATGAGGTGCACTATCGGCATGTAATTTTTATTTAAAATAAACTATTTTAAATTATTTAGCACCTGCTGCACCCGTATGCAGCCCACAGCTGCAGGAGAAGCTTCCTTCTGCAGTGTGTCATATCTCCGTTCTGCACAGGAGAAGTGGGCGTGGCCGAAAGCACTTGCAGATGGCAAAGTGCAACAGGAGGCAGAGAGTCGAGATCATGACATGCTGTGCTCTTTTAGAGCGTTGAGTTTAGAAACATTGTGTAGAATATTGCAAGAGTGTGGGAAGGGTTTATAATTTATTATAAGCTCAGTCGTTGTGGCTATAAATAAACAGATTAATTTGGTTAAGTTAACAAAAGTAAAAGGCGGAAAAAATATCTGAAGCCCAATCTAACTTTAGTTCAGGTATCTTTGAGCTGAATAGTTTTCAGGAGACAAATGTATGAATATGCCAGCAGTCACAGCATTCAAACTCATGAGTCAGCATATCTTGAATAGCTGTGGTTTCTGCATTTTTGTTAGTTGATGTACAAAAAAAGGGGGTGCAGCTGTCTGACAAGAATAAAAGCTACAGACGGGGCCTCGGGATGGGGCACAACAGCTGTGTGCAGTGGTCAGCAGTTTAACTGTTGTCACATCTCTCCTGTTTAATATACAAGATGTGAGCCTATGGAGGACGGAATGTGACTCATTGAAATAAATACATAATGAAATGTATCATTTAATTATTAAATATGTCATTAAATTATTAAATACACAATTAAATTAGTCACATTCTGTCCTCCATAGTCAGCTGAACCGTGACAACTGGTAACTGAGTGACCTCAGGGTGAGCAGGAGGACAAGAGTCAAGAGGGCAGGGGGACAGAGAGAGAGAGGTGAAAGCAGGACAAGTGGGGGAGGGAAGGAAGGAGGTGACTTGCTTTGGTTTCCTCTGCTAAACATGCATAAGAGCATTGCATTGGAAACTGTCAGCCCACAAGAAATGAAAGCAGATGCAAACATGTTTTTACACTACGTCCTCTGTCCTCCATCACTGATGAAAAAAAAGTCAAAGCATCGCAGAGGAGTGAAAGCTAGAGGCATTTTCATCACACCAGTTCAGTAAAAAGCAGCAGCAGCAGCTTTGGCTACAGCAGAGACATTTCAGCTAAAACACAACAAATGCAACTATACACTTCTACAAATGCTCTTCTATCATGGGAATTTATTTAAAAAAAAAAGGCTTTCAAGCAAACAAAAATGTCTACTCTAAACAGACCACAAGTATATTTCATTCAAAAATGAGCTAAAAAATTACAACAAAAAAAGAAGCTGTAAAATGTTTGGTTAGGATTTTTCTTAAGAGTTATAGGGCAACAGTATTTATATATTCTGAATGTGTCAATTTTTTCCCAAACTTATGGGGGTAACAGCAGGCACACTGTATTGAGAGAGACTGTGTTTTTTTTTTTTATTTGTACACGTTAAAAATAAATAAATCAAGCAGTGCCAGACTTGCATTTGAAAAAAAAAATGCTGTTCCAAACTGGAAAAACAAACAAACAAATAAAACAGCTGGGAAATATTTACTTGCTGAGAAAGTTTATATTTTTGTGGAGCCTAAGAAATGTCTATGTATTTAAGACAACGCCTCAAACATGAAGTGATTTTCACACTCTGACCAAGCTCTTCATAAAAGGACTGCAGAGTCACAGAATCTCACCTCAGATCTCCAAAAATCGGTGCAGAGTGGACACAAAAAGCATCTCATTCATGTTTTCAGCTGCTATAAGCTAACATCACCCGAACAGCTTGAGTCAAAGTTGTACCAAAAAGCAAGAGCTGCAAACTTTCAGCTGAAGGGAAAAGAGAACCAGTGGGGAAACAATAATAATAATAATAATCTAGTGATTCTTGCTGAGTGAAGACCTGTGTGACAAGTCATCTGGAGCAACAGCCTATAATACACATAGAACATGTCACTGACCTGCAGAACAGTGACTTGTTCATCAGTATCGTCTCCACTGACTAAGTTTTTTGCTACTCTATTTAGGTTATAATGTGTAAACTCGAGACATTTTCTTTGTCTTACAAGGTCAAATATAGTCTTTTTAAATGAAAACAGAAACTCTGAAGTTCAAGTTATCTATTTACATATGACCACTACGTGAAAGTTATACAAATGTATAACCTGTTGCCCCCCTCCCCTTATATTTACTGTATGTGAAACATTTTGTCTCGCATATAAATCACCAAATGAGTTTTAGGCTGTCTGCTTTATCGATCTGGAGTGAATCAAAACCTTTATCTGTTTTAATCATTAGTATACATTTTTTCAGAGCTGTCTTCTTTCGGCTTTTCCTTCTTGAGGAGTCACAACAGCGAGTCATCCTCCTCTATCTCACTCTGTCCTCTGCATCCTCCATCTAATTATACTCCAACTATGTCCTCTCTAACAGCATCCATATCTCTCCTCTTTGGCCTTCCTCTGTATTTTTCCTGGCAGCTGCATTTCTAGCATCCTTCTACCAAATATACCCACTGTCCTTCCTCTGGACATGTCCAAACCATCTCAGTCTGGTCTCTAACTTTATCTCCCAGTTGTTCAACCTGTGCTGTACCTCTGAAGATCTCATTCCTAATCTTATCCATCCTTGTCACTCCTAAGGAGAACCTCATCTTCATTTCTGCCACTTCCAGTTCTTTCTCCTGTCTTTTTGTCAGTTCCACCGTCTCCAGACCATACAATATAGCTGGTCTCACCACTGTCTTGTAAACTTTTCCTATGACCTTTGCCAACTCCCTTTTGTCACAAATCACTCCTGAAACTTTTCTCCATCCACTCCATCCTGCCTGGACTCTCTTTTTCACTTCTTTACCCC